GCACCTTAGTCTTCAAAGGGACATCTTTGCTCCTTAACACTTCTAAAGAGGTCTTTTGCAGATTTGCTCTCACATTTGATTTTTTGACTGCTGCTCGCACATGGTTGCATGTGTCAGCGGTTTGTTGTTATTTCTCGCTGGGATTACTCCTTTGTGTGATTCAGCCTGGTTTGTTGATGCGTTCTGTCCAGGAGCACCTAGGCTCTTTCCAGTTTGGGACTTTATTTGCGGCTCTCCGAGTTCTGCATCGTGGACAGGAGAGGGCGCCAGCGAGCTGGTGAGCAGAAGGGATGCATCGCCGGGCGCTGGGTTTTCTCAGGAAGCAGGAAGTGTCCTGTGCACCCTTGCCTCACCACCATCTCAGTAGCAGACCTTAGGCTGAATGCTGAGAACCGTTTCGGCTGTGACAAGTCTCACTTGTCACTGAGTGGTATCCAGTGGGTCACCATGAGTGACCCCTGGCTTGGGGGCAGCCCTGGGCCGCATGCTAGGGGCACAGGGCCGGGAGAACGGGGTGGGGGCAGATGGAGCTGCTGTTGCGCCGCAGGCACCCGTGACTCTTCCTCAGGGCACCGAAGTGGACGCTGCAGTGCATGGCTCCTGACCTGCAGCGGAGGCCCCGCCGCTTTGCAGTCTCGGCCAGTATTTCTCAAGCCAGATGATAGAACTTGGGGTCCTGGGGGTGCCCAGGTGGCTGCTCCCGAGTGACCTGACAGTGTCCAAAGCACCTAGTGGGTGCTTCAGGTGGGAAAGCAGTGAAGCGTGGCCTGATGGGCGGGAGAGGAGCTGTGCACCGTGGAGGGTCTCCAGAGTCACGGGCACTGCTGGTCTGAGACAGTTCCTCATGCTGCCCCGAGAGCCAGTCGGCCTGGTGGGTCTGGGGCTGGTGATACCGTGCGGCCGTCAGGCTAGGGCGCCGGCTGAGGTGTGAGTGTGCAGGAGGGAGAATGAGGGGGCATTGCAGGGTGAGGTGCTGAGCATCCAAAAAGGGCTGGGCAGGAGTGCGGTGGGCGGCAGTGGCACCAGGACCAGGGATGGGCACAGTGTGGGTGGGTGGCAGTGGCACCAGGACCAGGGTTGGGGCAGGTGTGTGGGTGGGAATCAGTGTCACCAAGACCAGGGATGGGCAGTAGTGTGGGTTAGGGTTAGGCTGTGGGGGACACAGCCCTCTCCTGCTAGACACCATCTACTCAAGAGAACACACAGACACCACTGAAGGGAAAGTAGCACAGAGAGCAGATGTCAGGTGAGGTGCAGGACAACGTGCCGTGGGGCTCAGAGGAGGGGGAGAGCCGGGGACTGCAGCTGGAAACCAGGCTTGGAGAACAGACAGGTAGGCCAGGAGGAAGTGCGGTCCAGCTGGCCTAAGGAGGGCAGGTGTGCCAGTCCCAGACAGGATGGGAGGGCCCCCTCAGGATGGTCTCCTGGCACTGCCTGGTGGCATCCGCCCTCTGAGTCTCTTTTGCTAGCCACCCCCTGCCCACGTGTTCTCAAGAGCAGGTGCTCCCGCAGCCAACAGCACCCATCCTCCCTGCCTGGGTACTGAATGGAGAAGTGCAATGAAGGCAGAGAGAGCCCCAAAGATGGTCCTCGCTGCCGAAAAATCCAAGAGGAGGATGTCATGGAGTCTCAGAGGGCTGGTTTGTGGGCTCACGTATTCTTCCCAACATGACCTATTGCACCAGCCCCCTTCTGCCAGGGGAAGGTTCAACCCTGGCTGGAGGAGAAGCGCCACCTCCCCAGGAGCCCCACTGCTCCGGTGCAGTGGCCCATCCCCGTGCCCGCCCCCATGGCTGTCAGGTGGAAACTGTGCTTTGCCAAGCAGGCTGTCCAGGGAGAGGTGGACCGCCACCGTGGGAGCCTGCGATGTGTGATGCATGGGTAAGTGGCCAGTGGAGGCTTTCAAGTGCTGTCCACCCACGCGGAATGGTGCTCAGGAACCACACCCATAAGTGCTGGCTGGCCACACCAGGGCCACATCCTTCACACCCTCACTCCGCAGGGTTGCTGGCCACACCAGGGCGGCACCCTTCACACCAGAGTCGCCAGCCACACCAGGGTGGCATCCTTCACGCTGTCAGTCCTCAGAGTCGCTGCCAAAGGTAGCGTGCATGTGCAATGCGGAGAGCCTGGCAAAGAGACTTGAGATGAAAGAGGTGTGGCTCTGGGTCCTGTGTTTCCCAAGTACTTGTTCCCCTGGGGCTGTGGGCTTCTGTGCCCCTGCCTGTCCAATGCCCTCTCCTGTAGAGATTAAGCGAAAAGCTTAATCTGGGCCTTCAAGTGACCCCCCCGCACACACACATACACAAAGAGCCACTGTTCTCCGATGCAGGGACCAGGCCTGGCTGAGCACGAGGGGACTCATGGGGCCCCTGTCTTAAGGCTTTGGCTTCTGGGGCTTACCTGAGCTGTGCTTGGTGGGACTGTCAGGACCCCACTGCGCACGCCAGCTCGGCTGCGTCCAGCTCTCGGCAGCCTCCCCTTCTCGGCCAGGGCCTGAGCCTTTCACCCTGGCACTCCTGGGTCACTGCGGTTGCTCCGCTGGCCCTGCCCCTGGGCCCACCACTGGTCTTTCTGGGGACACAGGATGAGGTGAGTCAGGGCTGTGGGGCCCGAAAGGCCTGCTCTCAAAGCCCTAGAGATTACAAGCCGCGGACAAGGCATTCAGCTGCTCTGAGCTCAGTGCCCCCTCTTTGGTTGTTAGAACTGTAGATAATAAGACAGAATGGAGCTCCTTGCAGGACTCCCACTCTCTAAGCAGAAGCCTTTGCTCTCAGAGAACATGCATCCCACAGCAGCCTGGGGAAAAGCATTGCAAAGTTGAGTGTTTCAGTAACTACAACGGCTGACCCAGGTCTGAACTGGACTCCATTCTGTTGTAGGCCCCGCTTCTGCTTTTTAGAGTACGTGACCCATGACCCCACTCTGGACCAAGATGTCTTTCTCTCCAACGAAATGGTGGCTCACCCCAAACATTGCAGGACCTAGGAACCAGCTTCAGGATTCATGCAGGAAACTGTGGCTAAAGTTGAGTACCCCAGGCAATAAAAATTCTCAATATGTGTGTCTTACAAGAATATGCTGAATGTCAGCCAATCAGCATGCCCCGTTATCTTTCCAACTCTGTACAAAGTTCTGCAAACTGATTATGTAAGATGTGCCTTTATGCTTCCTCTTTGGAATGCTCACCCCTCAAGTCACTGTGATTTGGGTGAAAGTTTAGAGCAAACTGGTTTTCCATTCAACAACCATAGACATCTCCTGCAATCCCCACACGCTAACAGCATTCTTCCTTCCTCCCTGCACCAACCCCTTCCCTTCGTTCTTCTTTCCCACCTGATCCCTCTTTTCTTGCTCTGTCCCTGGGCACATGCTGTCCTCCTAATCTCACGTTCTTGATTGTGGAACACATTTTGAATGTTTCATTTTGATTCTTGATTTGTAGATCTTTGAATCTAAATAAAACTCTCATTTTGCAGAAACTTTTGTTTTTCACGAGCCCTACAAGTGGGCAGCATGGCCACCACCACCCGAATGTCCAAAATGGGACTTGAGCCCAGGAAGGCTAAGTAAGTGGTTCTCTCAGGTCACACTGCTGGTCCATGTAGCGCCAAGATGATGCCAGTCCTCATGTTGTCCTGCCTCTCCTGGGACTCCCGTGGTGTTTGTCCCCACCACATGCTTCTCTGCACACACTGCCTGCTTGTACAGAGGGGGAAGGGGGAGGCAAAACCATAACTCTCCTGTTATGGACTGAACTGTGTCCCCAAAACATGTAGCAGTTCTAACCTGAGTGCCTCTGAACGTGACCTGGTGTGGGGAAACAGGGCTTTTCTTGTCTTGTGTTAATGACATCATACTAGAGCAGGGTACATCTTAAAGCTGATGGCAGGTGCATCTTCAAGTCCAGGACGCCAAGGATTACCGGGTGGCTACTAGAAGCTGAAACATCAAAATATGTACTTGCAGCATCCACAACCGTGAGAAAAAAATTTCTTTCTGCCCTTTAAAATCTCCCATGGTTCTGGAATTGAACCCACAACTGTGGTTTCCAGCCAAACAAAGTACAGGCATGTGAGTTAAACATTTACCTCAAGTAGACACACGCCCTGGAGAGAACAATCATGGGAGAAGGAAGGGCTGCTTATGCACAGGGAGATAGCTCAGGGTGCAGAAGAGTATGAAGGGATGGACACTGGGAGGAGGTAACTATGGGGAGGAAGTGGGAGGGGAGCTGCTGCATTGTAAATTTTGGTCAATGACATGAGACAAAGTATATGTGAACTGCTGTATGAAAAGTGAATTTACTCTGTAAATCTTCACCCAAATCCTAATAAAAAAAAAAATCTCCCATGGTGGCATTACCGTCACAGCAGCATTAGGTGACTGGGCCCCTTTCAAACTTTGACTAGTGCTCACTGACTGAGCTGCTGCTGGCTCCCCACTCCCAAACACACAGATGCCTGAATCCTCTCCGAAGCCCACCACAAGCACATGGAGAACACACACTGTCTGCATCCTAGAACCTTCCAGGGCGAGTGGCCTGAGTGCACAGTTCCCATAGCCACTGAGAAGCTCAGCCTGTCCAAGGGACACTCAGCCCTGAGAGCCTCTTCCCCAAGGGGCCCTAACTGGCATGGGGGCTAAGCTACCAGACCCGAAGCTGCTGCGAAACACCTACTGTCTGCTCCCTGCCAGCCTGTCCCCGCTGCTATCACGTGCTGACACTGAGGTGGGGGGTTTGCTTTGAGACAGGCAGAGGCCACGTGTGGATGAGTCTGGTCAGCATGCCGGCCCCACGTGGCCTGTAGACATAGTGCATAGTGTGCTGTGCAACCTCCTTGGGAAGCCAATGAGCCATTGCTACGTGGCCTCCAAGGGCAAGTAAACAAACAGGCGTTCCAGTAGGGGAGGGCCCTGGGCACCGTCAGCGAGTGGCAGGAACGTCCCCTTCCCGCAGCTCCTTCCTGTTTTCCATCCAGGCTCCTGTCAAACATCCTTTCCTTTGGGAAGGAGCCTGTTCTTTAAGCAACCTGGGACACTGAGTAAGTGCAAGGGTGGGACATATTGTGAGGGCACACTGTGTTTACAGCTCAGAGTGTTTCCTCACACCAGGTCCTAAAAATAGCCCCATGGAGGGCGGACTCTGCTCGGGATTCACAGAAGCGTCATGTTTTCCTGGAGCATCGAGGGACACAGAACAGCAGGTCATGTGTGTGCCCTCCAGCCCGGCGAGTTCCGTGTGCATCCTAGAAAGAAGAGGACTCCCTGTGGGCGTGCCACCAAAATGCAGCAGTTCCGGCTGGCCGTGGCACTTATGCCATGTCTGTCATGTGTGCATTGGAAAATAGGTATCACATTCACTTGAATAATCTCGCCACACACGTTTACAACATGCAGATCACACGAGAAGAAGCCGTGTACGCTGCTCCTTCCCTACGGGGCATGTGCAGACCTTTTCCATGGATACCTTCCTGTGCCTGATGTGAGAACTCCCAGACATCTGAAGTCACTTTTGGCTCATACACAACGCCCTACACTCGCTGTAACTTCTCCCTGGTCTCAGTTCCAAACGCTCACCTTCATTCAGACTGAAAGCTGCTTGCTCCTCCTCTCAGACACGAAAGCAAGCCTCTGCTGTCTGTAAGGGGGAGCAGCTGGCTTCTTTTCTGCCACTGCCATCTTCCCACCTTCCTCCCCAGCTACAGCTTCTGACTTCTGGAAAGTGCGACAGAGGAGGACGAGGAAGAGCAAGCATGTGTACTACTTGAGCCTGAAGCTGAGCAAAGCTGTCTTTCTCAGGCTACTCTTGTGGGGTGCTGGGAAAAATCCAGCAGGTAAATGCCGGGCCCTTCCACCTGCAGCTGCAACCCCACCAGCTGCTCTCTGCCATGTGTACCTCCAGCATTCTCCTGCTGGCCCTCTCAGGTGACCCTTCAGGCAGGTCCCAGATAACTCTGGCTCAATGGCAGTCACAACAAGACCCACATCTGGTCCTTAGATCCTCAGGACACATGCATCTTACACTTGTTGGCCATGCGTGTACTGGCCCTTCTCAGCCTCTGCTGTTTAGTGCACAGCAGGCAGCATTCTCAGCTCTTCCGTGTACCACGACACGCAGAAGCTATGTGGGGAACATCAGACTAGGGAATGTAATGGGATCCCCTGGCACCCAGTGCCCACCGGGGGGAGTGGTTGAGCATTTAGAATGAACCAGTCAGCAGGGTCCTGCACTTTTCTCTAGCCTTTTTCCACTGCTTGGTGCAGGTACGATGCACAGATGGACTTTTGCTGTGTGGGTACTGTTTTGGTTACCTAGTGCCACTCTGACGAGAATATACCACAAATGGGATGATTGAACTCAAACAGGAGTTTATTCTCTTACAGTTTGGAGGCTTTAAGTCTGAGTTCCAAGTGCCAACTCTAGGGGCTGGGTGAAAGCCCCTTGACCTTGTGCTTCAGCTCTGCCTCCTGCTCCCAGCGCACTGGAGCTAGAGGCTTTTCTTCACTCAGACAGCTGTTGGCTGCTGAGACTGACAAGCCCAAGGTTGACAAGTAAAAAGGCACAGTCCTGATTTTTACCAAACCACATGGCAGGCCATTAATTCATGTCCATGGAAAGTCCCAAGGTCAGCAGAGCATGGCAGGCTGCTAAACAATGACATGGCTACATGCAGAGTTCAAGTGTGCCATAAGCTAGAGACCATTCCCAAAGCTATTTCTTATATATGGGAAGCAGACCCCATACCCAAAGCAGCTACTCAGCTTCAATAGATTCCACCATGGAGTTAATTACCAATCTCACTATGGGGAATAACTACATTTAGCTGCACATTTAGCTGCCTAGCCACTCAACCAGGCCCAGCCAAGATGACACATAA